GCTTCCCCCCCCCCACCCCCATTGTAAATAAAAAGTTGCAAACGTTGTGTTCTAAACTGTGTGTGTTGTTTATTGGGAGGGGAGGGGAGGAGGGAAGGGTTGGGGATGGGAGGGAGATGTCAAGGGAGACAGAGGCGACCGTACTGTGGGGCCTGGGAGAATATCTCCGTCAGGGCCTCCCATATGCGTACCCCATCATGGTGCGCCTGGCGGATGGCAGCTGTGCGGGGCTATTCGAAGGCCTGGCCCTCGCCTGCCATCCATGCTGTTTATTGGGAGGGGAGGGGAGGAGGGAAGGGTTGGGGATGGGAGGGAGATGTCAAGGGAGACAGAGGCGACCGTACTGTGGGGCCTGGGAGAATATCTCCGTCAGGGCCTCCCATATGCGTACCCCATCATGGTGCGCCTGGCGGATGGCAGCTGTGCGGGGCTATTCGAAGGCCTGGCCCTCGCCTGCCATCCATGCGGGGAGGAAGGCCTCCCCCTTATGCTCCACAATGTTGTGCAGCACACAGCCACTACCTCAGGGACGTTCCGCTCACCCATCTCCAGACGGGTGAGCAAACAGCGAAACCGGGCTTTCAGATGGCCGAAGGCGCACTCAACCTGGTTGAGGCGGTCGTTGAACTGTGCCCAGTCGTGGTCTGTCCGCCCCATGTAGGGCCCCATTAACCAGGGCAGCAGAGGGTAGGCCGTGTCCCCCACAACACGTGTGGGCATGGGTACGGGCACGTCCCAGACAGTAAATTCCCTGACAGGAGTTGTTTACCTGCCGCCCCACCACACACAGAGCAACACGCAGGAGCAGGAAAGGGCTGCCAAGCAACTTCAGGAGTTTCTCAAGCCCCTGTTAGGCAACCCAAGGATGTTTCACAACGCACAAGTGGGGGCCGTCCAGAAAAAAAAAAATATTAAACAGTCAAAACCTTTCCCTCACATGCCATTACATTTGGCTTGAAGGTGTGGGAGGAGGTAAATTAAAAGCCACCCTAAAGCCAACTGGTAGAAATTGAATTTGAAGATGTAATCACTGAACCAAAACTGCCCTAACAAGAAGAGACATTCTATGGCATAAATCTCCTTACCCATGGGGTAGTGATCCACCCCAGAGTCAGCAGCATAGATCAACCCTGCTGCAGCTTGGCTGTTATGAAAACCCCTGCACAAAGAAGTTTAAAAATTATTATTAGCTGGCTTTATTCAAATATTTATTATTGAAGTCATTTAACAGGAATCAAGACCTACCATAAGAAGGGGGGGGAAAAAAAAAAAAAAAAAAAAAGTGAAATGAGGGTAAGATGTTTGGAGCCCAATGGGCAAAGTAGAACGAATAAGGAAAGCAGTAATACGGTCATTGGAAAGTGAAATTAATAGGAATGAGGAAAGTTTCATATGAGGGACAAAGCAAGGGTATGTCTACACTACAGAACTAATTCGAACTAACTTAGTTCGAATTAGTTAATTTGAACTAAGCTAATTCAAACTAACGCATCTAGAACTAAAAACTAGTTCGAATCAGCGTTTTGCTAATTCGAACTAGCATGTCCACATTAAGTGGACCCTGAACAGGGCTTAAGGAAGGCCGGAAGCAGTGCCGGCAGGGCATCAGAGGAGGACTTAGAGCGTGGAGATGCAGTCTCAGGCTAGCCGAGGGCTGCGCTTAAAG